ATTGATTTTGTTGTTGTTTGTTTAGATTCCTTGCACTTCAGATCTTTTAAACACATCTGGCATGCAATTGGATTTATTGGTTCAGCCATTAGCTCTTCCACATCCATCCGAGGAGCTTATCCAAGTAAGACTGGAAATTGGAAAATACTTGTTTTCTTGAAATTATTGAAATTGAGATATAATAATTTCAATATATACTGAAAATATGTGAATTATTTTTCCAGATAGTGGATTTTGGTGAAAGTGGACCTGTTCGTTGTTCTTGTTGCAAAGGCTATATAAAGCTTTGACTTTAGGAGCATCAACTGTCATGATGGGGAGCTTTTTAGCAGGAAGTACGGAAGCTCCTGGAGCTTATACAAATCAGGTTGGTAACTTGCAGTTTTAAATTTATTAAGCAAAAAAGAAAACACTTGTATATGACTTACCAGATTAAGTCCTTTTTCTCATTTTGGTCAACTAGGGCGGTCAACGGGTTAAAAAATATCGAGGAATGGGATCTCTAGAAGCAATGACAAAAGGAAGTGATGCAAGCAGATCTCAAATAACTTATTTAATTTATATGTATTAATTAATTAATACATATAAATTAAAATATCACGTCTTCATTTGATTTCTATACATAAAAAAAAAGTATTCACAACTTATAAATCATGAGCACTCTTGTATTTATTTCTTTTCTTTCTCTGTCTCTATTGTTGGTTTGTGAGTATGAAGGAAGCAATTTTTCTGACTCCTTGGACATGCTTGAGGATAAAAGTTTAAAAATAGAAGATGATTCTGACTTGCCATCATGGTCAGGTGATGAACGTGGTGTCAGGGTTCTTGTAAATGTTGATAGCTTTGGTGCTGTTGGAGATGGAGTTTCTGATGACACAAAGGTGATATAAATATATAGTCTTTCTTGAATGTGTTGATGGAGTCATTAAGGGGATTATTTTTATTTTCATGTATGTTACATAACATGCCTTTGGAGATGCATGGAAGGAAGCATGTTTTACAGATTGCATTCACGGGAAGCAGTGCAATATATAATGATATATGCATGAGAACTCAACTGTAAAAATGGAAGAACAAGACTCGAAAGAATAACAAGGATCTCCATGTGGATATGATTCAAAGTGTCATCCAACAACTCTTCTATCAGGTCAATCATAATTGATAATGGTTCATGTTCGAATTTTCTTGAATTTTTCTATTTGTCTGAATCATGGTGTGACGGTTATAAGTAAATCACATGTAATTCATATGTGAATTACATGTGATTCACATGTAAATCACAAGTAATTTACATATAAATTACATGTGATTCACATGTAATTATAAATTACATGTGATTCACATGTAAATCACATAAGAATTATATGTGATTCACATGTAATTCACACATGATTCATATGTAAATCACATATGAATTACGTGTGATTCACATGTAATTCACATGTAATTCACATATGAATTACATATGATTCACATGTAATTCACATATGATTCACTTGTGATTCACATGTAAATCACAAGTGAATCACATATTAATTACATGTGATTCACATGTAAATCACTACTGAATCACATATGAATTACATGTGATTTACATGTATATAATATATAATTCACATATGAATTACATGTGATTCACATGTAAATCACATTTAATTCACATATGATTCACTTGTGATTCACATGTAAATCACATATGAATTACATGTGATTCACAAGTGAATCACATAAGAATTATATGTGATTCACATATAAATTACATGTAATTCATATATTAATCACATGTGATTCACATGTAAATCACAAGTGAATAACATATGAATTACATGTAATTCACATGTAAATCACTACTGAATCACATATGAATTACGTTTATATGCACACATGCATTTTGTGTGAGTGGTCTTCGTTAATTATTATTTTTTAATTTTCTTGTGAATTTCACATTTGAATCTTAAAAGATACAATCACATGTGAATATCACATTATATAATCACATTTGAATTTTACATGATATAATCACATGTGAATCTTACATGATATATACTTGTGCATTTTTCTGAGTGTTCTTGCATTAATCAATTTTTTAAAAAAAATTTCTTGTAGGTTTTAATGAATTTGTTGAAAATATTGAAGATGTGAAAAGTGATAAATTGAAGAAAATATGGAAATCTTGATATAAAGAAATGATAAGACTGTGAATCTTCGTAGCATTTTTTATTTTTTATGTTTTATTATGTATCGAATAAATTATTTGTTATATTATGTTTATAGATTGATTAATAAAAATGAGATTTTTTATGATTTACTTATGAATATTATAGTATAATAAATATGCATATATGCATTTGAAAAAATATACATATGCACCTAAAACGTTGATTTTTTTTGTTAAAAAAATTAAAGTTTTTTTTAACTAATCTAGTTTTTT